TGTTTTGGTCGTTGGCAGCGGTTGCATTAGTTGTCGTGGGTGGTTGGCAATAGTTGCATTTGTTGTTGGCGTTTGCTTGCAATGGGTGTATTAGTTGTCGCGCGCAGCTTGAAATATTTGTATTAATTTCTGGTGGTGCTCGGCATTCGTTGCATAAGTTGCCGTGGGTAGTATCAATTGTCATATGGTTGTTTTTGATTTGTTGTAGTAGTTGCTTTCGTGGTCGCGGATCTAGTGTTATGGCGCGTCTGGGCGAATCAGATTATGCAAGTTCAAGTAGGAATCCAATTCGAATCTGCCTCGGATACACGGAGTAATCGAGTGCGATAAGTCCGTGTATCCAATTTGCAGGTTCCAAAAGGGATCGAATTAGAAACCTGCCTCGCATACACGGAGTAACCGAATTCGATTACTCCGTGTATCCGGTGCGCGGAGTAATCGAATGCGATTATTCCGTGTATCCAAGATGCAGGTGCCAGCAGGAATCCAGTTATAATCTGCTTCGGATACACGGAGTAATCGAGGTCGATTGCTCCGTGTATCCAATGTGCAGGTCCCAATAGGACTCCAATTAGAATCTGCCTCGGATACACGGAGTAATCGAGGTCGATTACTGCGTGTATCCAATGTGCAGGTTCCGAAAGGAATCCAATTATAATCTGCCTCGGATACCCGGAGTCATCGAGGTCGATTGATCCGTGTATCCAATGCGCAGGTCCCAATAGGAATCCAATTTGACTCTGCCTCGGATACACGGAGTAATCGAGTGCGATTGCTCCGTGTATCCAATGTGCACGTCCCAGAAGGAATCCAATTCTAATTTGCCTCGGATACACGGAGTCATCGAGTGCGATTGCTCCGTGTATCCAATGCGCACGTCCCAAATGGAATCCAAGTCCGCAGCTCGTGGTGCTGTCCAGCAGCCGCGCCGCGCCGGGTGTGTTTCCCGGGGGTGCCCGGAGCGTCCCGAACGGTCGTCGAGAGCCGAGCTTAGGAGGAGGAGGAGGAGGAGGAGGAGGAGGAGGAGGAAGCCAGAGGGGCAACAGCCTTGGGCGTCGCGTCATGCGGGGGGTGATCAATAGGGGGGGGCAGCTAGGGCTGCAGAGAGCGAGGGCCCCGAAGTGGGCCCTTATGGAGGCCCTTTATGGGGACCCCGTGGGGCCCCAGAGGGGGGCCCTGCCCAGGAGAGCCCACGCGGGGGCCTCCCAGGGGCCCGAGGAGTGCACACCCCCCAGTGAGCGGCGCCCAGCCACCTTGGAAAAAGGAGGAAAGATGTAACGGAATGGCAGGAGGGCGGGTCGGCGGGGAAGGCTGGGAAGTGGGGGGGGGAAGGGGGAGGAAGGGGGGAGGACGAACGAACCACCACAGCGGACAGCTGTCCCGACCTGCTGAGATCGCGTGGGTGAGGCCCTGACCTCCTGGAGACATATTCTATAGAATTACGCCTCATCCGCCGACCCCTTGATCAACTTGGGGATGTCGTGTTGCTGTCCTGGGGCGTACTTGTGTTGTCTTGTTTCTTTGGGTGGGCGGGCTCCCTCCGTGGACAATAGCAATGCCGCGCGCGGCGAAAAGCAGGGCACCCTGAAATGCAAGGCACGCAAATGATACCCATGCGAACGCCGGTGCCATGATCCGTAGAAGTACGACCAACGGGGGTGAGAGCGAGAGGGAGGACGAAACCGATGAATGAGGAAAGCCAAGCAGGAGAAAACGGAAGAGGAGTAGGAGGAGGAGGAGGAGGCGGGTGAGGGTGCGGGAGAGGCGGGGGAGGGTCATCGGCGGAGGAGGAGGAGGAGGGACGATTTGGTTTGGAGGCGTGTACTTTTTCCTGTCTCTGGCTGCGTTTTGGAAAGATGTCCGACACTTCGGAGAGCGTGTGCGTCGCCCTGGATGTCGAGACCCTGTGCAGGTGGTGTCTTTCCGTGCAATTTGTCATGGCCGTCGGTCCAAACCGGCTTGGTCGGGGGTCAGAATTTGAAGGGTGTGTCGCGGGGTCTTTTCGGAACGCTCTGGAGGCGGAGGCAATGTCAGATGGTGGAAGGATACTGTGTGGTCAGTGCGTTTGTCGTTGTTGACTTTCGAAGTGTTCGCCATGCGCACATGGAGAAATACCTGCGAACACCCGCGCTTGTTGACGGCAGGTCTCGGTCCAAAAATTGGACGAGTGGTTCTCGAATGGGACGCGGCGCATCCCGCCACCTTGCTTGTGTTGCAGGTATGCGGCCACACGGATGGTTCAGAGGATCTCGTGGGAAGCCAGACGGGGTCGCCTGGCAGGTTTTCTGTCTCTTTTGGTGTTTTTTTTTTTGGTGGGTTTCTGGGAGCCCCCGGAGGTTTTCTTGGAGATCCCTCGGGGCCTTTTAAGGGTGTTCTTGGAGCTTGCAGGGGGCGTCTTGGGGCCGAAGGCTCGAGAAGGTACCTTTTTGGATTCCGTCTCGGAGGTGTCAGAGGGCCCTCTTGGGCTGTCTTGGGGGCTTCGCAGGCTGTTGTTGGACCCTCTTCGACCCTTTTTGGGGGCCCCTGTGGCCGTCTGGGTGCGATGTTGAAGGTTCCTTTGCCTGTTTTGGACGTTGTGAAAGCCGAAGTGGCGAGCATGCGAAACATGTTTGGTTTTCGAAGGGAATGGGCCCACTTTTTGTTTCTTGCGACCCTCTTAGGGCGCATCTGTGGGGCCCTTTTTTCGGAGCGTCTTGGCAGCTTCGGAAGCCGCCTGGATGCCATCCTGGGCGTCTAGGGTCGATATGTCGGCGAATCGTGGCCCCTGGGGACCGTCTGGGCAGCGTTTTGGTGTTGGGCCAGGCTGGGCGGAAGGGGGGGTGGGTCGAATTGCTGGTTTGGGGTCCAGGGGGGGGGGGATTATGGGGGGGGTCTCACCCGCCCAGAGAGCCACAAAAGGTCGGCGGATTTAAGCACATGCGTTGATGCAGGAAAGGGGGTTGAGAAAGGGAGGGAAGATGGGGTCCAGCCACGCGCAGAGGGGGGAAGGGGGGGAGAAGGCTTCTTTGAAACACCCCTGCTTCCTACAGTGCGGGGGCCGTGCCATTTGAGGCCCGCGCTTTCTATAAGAAGCAGCCTCCTTCCAAGAAGCCTTCCCCCCTCCCCCTCTCCCCCCTGCGCGCGCCGCCAACGACGAGAGGGGGGGTGCCAGGGGAGGGGGGAGAGTGGGGCAGGGAACGGAGCGAGGGGGGTAGGGGGGGGCAGGGAGGGACGAAGGAGACGAGGCGGTGCTTCTGGTCATGGTAGCGACCACACTTCCAGGCGAGTTCGTCATCGTCTTCCGCACTTCCTCTCCCCACGGGCGGCGGACATCCCGATCCACGCCCGCGCGGTTTGGATTCCAGCGCGCGATCCTGTGGACACGTTCCGTGGGGGGGGTCCGCGACGATGCGCCCCGAATCCATGGGTTGACGGCCCAGATGCCTGCGGGGCCTCAGTCCTCCGTTGGCATCCGTTGTTTGTGTGTGCCTTGTTGCCAGACTGGTGACGTGCCCGCTTTCCACCACCACCACCACCACCAGAAGTTGGAGGGGGAGGGGTTCCTCCTCACCGTCGTCTTCTTTCTCTTCCTCATCTTCCACCGCCTTCCCCTCTCCAGCGTACAGTCGGGGCCCTGAAGAAGGAACCCTTTTCGTTGGGGAGGGGCTCCGCGTTCCTGCCTCAGGTTTTCCTTTGGTTTCCGATGGGAAATCGAAGTTCATCTTATGGAAAATAGAGGCCTCGTTCCTTATTTAGGGTTCCTTGGGTCAATGCCCCGACTGTATGGTGGTGGTGGTGGTGGAAAGAAGGCCCATCATCGCAGAAGCAAGCGCAGCACGATCAGCGCAGGGTTCCTACGTCGAAGTGCAGAGGGCGCACGGCCGTCACAGTGTCCGTCGGCGTTTTGGCAGCTGTGGCCTCTTGCCCCTCTGGTGTTGTCTTGCCCGGTCTCCGTGCAGAGTGGCGCGACGGAGCTTCGATTACAGTGTAATCAAAGCTGTGTCGCGCACAATGTCGGGGGCGGAAAAGAAGGGGGTGATGACTAGGGGGGGGTGTATATCATGGCGCGGGCCGTGATATTTCCCCAGATTTCATGGCGCCTCTTTTCATTTCATTACGTCCCTGGCCCCCCCGCTGGGCCGCGCGCGTGCCGCCGGTCATGATTTGCACCCCCCTTCTTGGACACCCCCCTCTTGGCCGCTCCCGAGAATGTCTCGACTGCGCTTGGATTACAGTTTTTTATCACCGCGTAATCGTTGTGAACGTTCGCGGTGCAACGGTCGGGCTTTACGCGTTGTTAGTTCTCAGCGCCAGCGCGTTTTCAACATCGTTGTGGTCGGTCCTTGGATTTGAGTCAACGCGGCAGCGTTATCCTCGGCGCATCTGGTCCGTACGATGACTTTCGCGTGCGGCTCCGCCGGCGCAGGTGAGCATGCAGCCTTCGCCCTGGCGAGCACGTGCAGAGCTTGGCGTGCCTGGCCCGCTCAATCGCCGCCGACATGCAGCCGCCTGACACCGTGACTGATGGGCGCATCAATGTACATTCCTGGCCTCCTCCTCCTCCTCCCCCTCCTTCTCCTCCTCCTCCTCCTCCTCCTCCTCCTCCTCCTCCTCCTCCTCCCCCTCCTCCTCCTCCTCCTGGTCCCAACCACACCGTTCTGTCGTTGCAGCGCGCACGTGCAAGTAAGAGGCAACGGGCGACCGAGCACGCCAGGAGCGGACGAGGAGCGGATGCGACCAGATGGGGAAAGGAGGTGGGAGGAGGAGGAAGGGGGCAAGGAAAGGCAAGGAAGGGGATGAGGACGACGACGAGGCGCACGTTGGCAACCAGGAGGTCGCAGGTGCGCTTCAGGGAGGGGGGGGGAGGGGAGGGGGCAAGGAAGACGGCGGGAGGATGGAGGCAGGCGGAGGGAGGAGGGAGAGGGAGACAAGGATGGCAGGGACGAGAGAGGGGGGAGGCATGCGGAGACAGCACGAGGAGCGAGCAGGCTACGTCGCGCTATACGGCCTCCCTGGCCCAGGAGCCCCGTCAGGACAGGGGCGACGCGGAGGCGGCCCTGCCCGGGAGCAGGGGGGGAGGCACGGGCCGGGAAGAGGGGGCGGAGCAGCGGCGAGGGCAGAGGAAGACGCAGCACAGGAGGGGGAGGGGGTTGCGCAGGCGGCGGCCGAGGGGCAGGGTCAGGAGATCGCAAGGCATGGCTCAAGGGGGAGTGGATCAGTGACGGGTCCCGCTTCCACGGGGAATCGCGGACTTCCGCCGCCGAAGGAGGCGGTACAGGCCGCACTTTGGGGAGGGCACCTCCCCAAACCCATGGATTTGGCGACCGCGCGCCAAATCCATGGATCGCTGATCCATGTTTGCGCGCTCCCGATAGGGGGGGGGGTGAATGCAAGTTTTCCTCATACCATGTGGATGTACAGAACGCGTCGTGTCGACGTCGGGTCAGACGTTCGTCCTTCGTTGTGTGTATCAGCCCTCCTGGTGCGCCAATTCTGGCACCCCTCTGGCGGATCGTGCCACAACGGCCTTGGCGTGCACCACTAAGAGCTGTATCTGCTGCCCCAGTTTAGGAGTTCGCTCATGGCCACCCTGCCCTGTCCTGCCCACCCCTCGCACGGATCTTGCCCCACAGTTTAGGGAGGCTAGTTATTGTTTCAGTCCGAGGTATCTGCATGGGCGTCATGTCGCCCATTTCGACACACTTCCCACCCGGATCGTGCCCCAGAGGGGGCTCCAGTTACGGCCCCAGTGGGGGAGCTCGTATGGCGTCTTCTTTGGATTTCTTTCGGCACCCCTCGCATGGATCGCGCCACCTGGGGAGTTCCATTAGTTATCGTATGGCCCCAGTGCGGGACTTCATGGTTCCACGGCCTCAGTCAAGCACCGACCATGCCTTGTAGAGAATTCCAACCAGCATGGTCTCGCCTTGCATGCCGGTGTACTCAGACGGATCCGTCCTGCGCAGGTCCAGCCCAGTCAGCTCGTGCACGGCTCTCAAAAGGACCGCGCCCAGTGGGGAGTTGAATTTCGATTTGAGTTTGTGTGTGCGTGTGCCTTTGTTCGCTTGCTGCACTTATTCTGGCACGCACCCCTCCCACGGATCGTGCCACAACGGCCTTGGGATCGCGCCCCGTATGGACATCGAATGACGGCCCCAATGGGGGGTCTCATTTTTGCCTTGCCGAAGTGGAAGTGCATTCCCTTCATTTCCCAAGTCCTTTCAATCATTTCTCCGCGGTCTTCATACCGTCACATTTTGATTGAGGGGTCTAGGAATTAGTCTCCGAAGACCGTATGGGCGTGATGTGCACCGTGCCACATGTTTAATTTGGTATCGTGAGGGGTGCGTGTCGAGCTGCTGATTCGTTTTCCCGAGACAGACGTGGATATGCAGTATCGGTGTGACTTACTCCGCCAGCTTTTGGACATGCGTCCAGGCTGGCGCAACGCCGAACATTACACCGACGATGGTATGTTTACGATGTTATACTCGTAATTCTCGGCGTGTGTGGGCGTCAGGCCACTAGGACAAGGGGTCCCTGACCGCGTATCCGAACAATCTAAGTAGTAGTCTCGGAGGTTGGGGGGTGAGATCGAAGTGGAACGGAGAGCCCCCCACCGGGAAATCGGTTTCGGTTTCGTGTTCGTGTCGTGCGTGCGGGCGAGGCGAAGCTGGGTGCGCGGGCGAGAGGAATTCATTATGCTGTCGCTAGTGGTTCGCCAACATAAATGTTTCCCCCGCCGGCGCGTGTCAAGCGGTGGCCTGCATTGTCCCGTCGGTTGCCCGCCGTTGTCCTGTCTGTCGCTAGTGGTTCGCCAACAGAAATGTTTCCCCCGCCGGCGCGTGTCAAGCGGTGGCCCGCATTGTCCCGTCGGTTGCCCGCCGTTGTCCTGTCTGTCGCTAGTGGCTCGCCAACATAGATGTTTCCCCCGTCGGCGCGTGTCAAGCGGTGGCCCGCATTTTCCCGTTGGTTGCCCGCCGTTGTCTTGTCTGTCGCTAGTGGTTCGCCAAGAAATGTTTCCCCCGCCGGCGCGTGTCAGGCGGTGGCCCGCATTGTCCCGTCGGTTGCCCGCCGTTGTCCTGTCTGTCGCTAGTGGCTCGCCAACATAGATGTTTCCCCCGTCGGCGCGTGTCAAGCGGTGGCCCGCATTTTCCCGTTGGTTGCCCGCCGTTGTCCTGTCTGTCGCTAGTGGTTCGCCAACAAATGTTTCCCCCGCCGGCGCGTGTCAAGCCTTGGCCCGCATTGTCCCGTCGGTCGCCCGCCCTTGTCCTGTCTGTCGCTAGTGGTTCGTCAACATAAATGTTTCCCCCGCCGGCGCGTGTCAAGTGGTATCCCGCATTGTCCCGTCGGTCGCCCGCCCTTGTCCTGTCTGTCGCTAGTGGTTCGTCAACATAAATGTTTCCCCCGCCGGCGCGTGTCAAGCAGTAGCCCGCATTGTCCCGTCGGTCGCCCGCCGATGTCTTGTCGTGAGATCGATAGTGAGATCGATCGTGAAATTGATAGTGACACCGAAAGTGAGATCGATGGTGAAACCGAATGTGAGACCGAATGTTGGATCGATAGTGAGATCGATGAGCAGATCGATAGTGAGATCGATCGTGAAATTGATAGCGGCACCGAAAGTGATATCGATTGTGAATAGTAGCTCGCTCGGTAGTAGCCTCCGCCCTCAGATTCGGTTGTGGCAAGGTCGGCCATCGACTAAAAAAAACGCGCCCGAGTCCAATTCTATCCTGTTTCTTTTCAGAGGCTCCATTCACCCCTGAACCCCATCTGCAACGGGCAGGCGGCCTTTCATCAACACTGTCGTCGTCGTCGCCATCTCGCCATGATCATCGTCACGCGCATCGTCGCCATCATCATCAGCATCGTCCATCGGAATTCGTTCTCCGCCCGAAGCACTGGACTGTCAGTCCATCGGAACTCTTGGAGGGGTTGCCCGGCGCTGACGCTGGGCACCAGTCTCTGCCAGTGCATGTCCCGGCGCGGCTGCGGGGTGCCGGTGCGGAGGATGGTACACCAGAGGCGGACGCACGCCTGGTTGAGCTGGTCAGCCACTTTCTCTGGACGCACTACGGTGAGTTCGACCCGTCTTGGATTTCGCATAAGTGGACGGGCCGAGAGCCGCACGACAAGAGTGTGTACGCCGAGTTCAACAAGCTCCTGCCGCCGGGTGGCTTGAAGGCGTTCGTTCAGAGCCACCCGGAATTCGCATGGCGCCCCGGGGACCCGCGCCAGCCTGACAAAGGCATGGTCATCACGTGGGCGCTGCCAGTGCAGGCCGACACGGCACCAGGCGCTGCCAGTGCATTTGGCAGCAGTGTCCCTGCTGAGCAAGTGGCACTGCCCGCCACAAAAAGCCAGTCGTCTCCACCGACGCTGGGCGGAGGGTGCTCGTCAACGCCAGGCACTGCCAGCGTGACTCCCAAGGCAGGATAGGAGAGGTCCGGACGCACGCACCAGGCCCTGCTAGTGCACGCGTCGTCGACCTGGACCGTCGTGGGGTGGGTGCCGCGTCGCGCAGCGGCAAAACGAATGACACAAAACGCCCAAGCGAAATAACAAAAACAAGTCCGCCACGTCATCCTTATCATCATCGGCCATCAGCACCACATTCACCACGGTTGTCGTCATGAGCCCGCCCCCTCCCCCCCCCACGCACGCACACGCACACACACACACACACACACACACACACACACACACACACCACACGCACACACACACACACGCACGCAACCTCCTTATCACCCGCAGGGGGTCGTATAGGTAGTTCCTCATTGCATGTACCTCCGACGAGCACGGCGTCTTGCTCTCTCTCTCTCTCTCTCTCTCTCTCTCTCTCTCTCTCTCTCTCTCTCTCTCTCTCTCTCTTTGTTTTCTCTCTCTCTCTCTCTCTCTCTCTCTCTCTCTCTCTCTCTCTCTCTCTCTTTCTTTCTTATCTCTTATTTTTTTTTCTCTCTCTCTCTCTCTGTCTCTCTCTCTCTCTCTCTCTCTCTCTCTTTCTCTTTCTTTTTCTCTTTCTCTTTCTCTTTCTCTTTGTCTTTGTCTTTGTCTTTGTCTTTGTCTTTATATGTCTATTTCTCCTTCTATGTATCTTATTATTATTTTTTCTCTCTCTCTCTCTCTCTCTCTCTCTACATCTCTCCCTGTCTGTGTCTCTGTCTCTGTCTCTCTCTTTCTTTTTGTTTCACTCCCATTGCATCCAGCAGCATGGGAAGGGTGTGATAGGGATGAGTTGGGAGGCGGGACAAGGGAATGCTGGAGGAAGGGCGAAGAAGGCTGCGGGGTGGGTTGTGGCGCAAGGTCATCACCATTGACCGCAAATCGAGTCAGAACTCGTCTCATTCAGACTCTCCACACGAGGGAATGGGATAAACAAGTTGCATCTATGTGGGTGGAAGCTAGAGGCATGATATCCGAAGGGGGCACGGACGCATGATGGTTGCGAAAAGAGGACCCATCCTTGATAGTGATTGATCGAAGCTGCGAGCGCCACGTCGTGATCCCCTCCTCCACATATTATTATGGCCCTGCCAACGCATGCGCTCCTCGGGGTGCGTACGCACTTCAACGTGGCGGCGCCCCCGAAGGCACGCAGAGGGCACGCGTGGCGACGGGGGCGTCGCCACGCAGAGCTTCTAAAGACCAAACATTTTGAACAACAGTTTTTTCCACTACCAAAGTACTTGTTCATGTCGGAATCGAGGCCTGCGTGGGTCTTCGGAAAAGGTCAGCGGCACTAGTCTAAGGTGTGCCGTGTTTCATCCTGCCCCTCCTCTATCCATCGCTCCCCGTCCTGCCCCACAATACCACAATTCCGCCTGACGCTGTCCGGGCGCCCGGGCGGCCCGGGCGTCCGGGCGGCTGGGCGCCCGGGCGTCCGGGCCGCCTGGGCGTTCGGGCGCCGGGCGCTCTGGGCGCCCGGGCGGCCCGGGCGTCCAGGCGGCAGGGCGGCTGGGCGCCGTCCGGGCATCCCGGCACCCAGGCGTCCGGGGCGCCCGAGCGGCCGCGGCGTCTGGGCGGCTGGAGGCCCGGGCGTCCGGGG